CCCTTTAGTTGGCAGCTCAGAACACCACATACAGAACACCATGGACTTTGTGGATAAGGTGAGGGATGTCATCATGGAGACTGATGAAACAATGGTCTCTTTTGATGTCACATCACTCTTTACGTGCATTCCTGTTGATGATGCAGTAGAGGTGGTCAGTTTAAGATTAAAATCAGACACCACTCTGAGCAGCAGGACCACGCTTTCCACAGAACAACTGTGTCAACTCTTGAAACTGTGCTGCAGTCAACCTACTTCACATATGGGGAGCAATATTATAGGCAGAAACATGGGTGTGCTATGGGGTCTCCAGTTTCTCCTATTGTTGCCAACCTGTACATGGAGGAGGTAGAAAAGAGAGCCTTGACGTCCTTTTCCGGGACACCACCAAGTCATTGGTTCAGGTATGTTGACGACACCTGGGTTAAAATTAAATCTCAGGAAGTCCAACATTTTACTGACCACATCAACTCTGTGGATAAATACATCAAGTTCACACGAGAAGATGTAAAAAATGGCAAGTTGGCTTTCTTGGACTGTGAGGTCTCAGTCTCTGATAGAGGACATTTGCAAACCGAGGTGTACCGCAAACCCACCCACACAGACCAGTATTTGCAGTTTGACTCCCATCACCCTTTGGAGCACAAGTTAGGAGTCATCAGGACTCTGTATCACAGAGCAGACAGCATCCCCACTAGCTCGGGAGCCAGGCAGAAGGAGAAATCCTACACAAAACAGGCTCTAGAGCAATGTGGATATCCTAACTGGGCCTTCCTGAAAGCAGAGAAGAAACCCAAACAGGACTCCAGTCAGCCATCAGGTGAAAAGGAGGAACCCAGACCCAGACCAGTGGTCATTCCGTATGTTGAGGGGGTATCAGAGAAACTGAGACGTTTATTTTCTAAACATAACGTCCCAGTGGCTTTTAAACCCCAAAATACATTACGGCAAAGACTGGTTCATCCCAAAGATCCAGTCCGCCGGCACAAACAGAGTAATGTTGTGTATGCTGTTCAGTGTCAGGAGGGCTGTGATCAGTCTTACATCGGGGAAACTAAACAGCCACTGGCCAAAAGGATGGCCCAGCACAGAAGATCAACATCATCAGGCCAGAATTCTGCAGTCTACACTCATCTCCAGGCCAGCGGTCACTTTTTCAAGGATGAAGATGTTCACATCCTGGACAGAGAGGAACGATGGTTTGAGAGAGGAGTAAAGGAGGCCATCTTTGTGAAAAGAAATCGTCCATCATTAAACAGGGGTGGAGGCCTCCGGGTTCAACTGTCCCCCTCTTACAATGCTGTTATTGCTAGTATCACTCAGCCCTCTGTGAATAGTAAACAGCCATCAGTGTGCTAATGATCCATTGTTAGGCTGATGGTCCTTCTTGAGCATGTGATCAGCTGGTTTTGGTTGTCAGCAGCAAACTGGTTGATCCACTCTGAGAAGGTGCTATTTAAGAGACTGAGCTGAATACAGCACCTCAGACTGAGGAAGTCTCTTGGATGAGAGACGAAACGTTTCTAGACTTTTTTTGCTTTGTTTTTTTTTGTTTTTTTTAATGTCCAGAGGACCAGATTGAATTTTTTTGGATTTTTCTACCTGGATTATTGAGCATGCATCAGGATGCTTTTTCTGTTTTCTTTGTTCCACCTTCTGTATTTCTAATAATTTCTACTTTTTATACTCCTTTCAGTCCATCTAATTTCAGCTTTATTTTTTAGCATTTCAGCTGCTAATTTCGGGGGGTTTTCTGCTCATTTCAGATTTTTTGCAATCTATTCAGCTTCTCTCTGCCCATTTTAGCTTATTCTGCTAATTCTACTAACTTCTATATTCCTGCTCTATTCAGCTGTTTCAACACCTCTCGGCTGTGTTTCTTTTGTTTTCCACTTTTATTTTCCTGCTTTCAGCAAATGTCAGATGTTCAAATGAACCTCACATCAGCAGTTTAGCCACCAAACCTTTGCAGCTGGTTTCAGCATTTTTGCAGGAAATACAAGTTCTCTAGTTGTGTTTAAGTTCTATTCTGATATTTTCAACAATATTTGCAGGTGATCTTCTTGCTTTACTCTGACCTGCAGGTTTCTAAAAAAAATATCCTGCAACCAGTTTAGAACTTAAGTCTCTCTTTTATTTTACACATCAAACTCTTTCAGCTATTAAACGAACAAACGTAACAAAAATGAAGTTTTGTTGTAAAAACGTGACGTTCCTCTTAAGGTGAAGCAGCTGAACGACTGCGGTCAAAGTCACATGATCACCTGTACAAAGACTGGACCAAATCCAGATTATAGTCTGTGTTCAAAAAACAGGGTGGGGCACCCACGTCAGGGGTCAAAGGTCAAGGCACGTCAGGCATCCCGTGCTTCCTGTTTCGCAGCTGAACCACTTCTTTTCTTTCCTTCAGGAAGTTTCCAAAAGAGTCGTTCTCTTTGCTCTCCTCCGTCGCTGAAAATCAAAACATTCGTTTTTATTTTTCATGAAGTGAACGAACGACTCACAAACATCCACAATGCTCTCAGACGCTTCTCTTCTCAAACAAATGTAGGGCGGATCAAGTTTTAGGCCAGCAAAAGAATCAGGATTGGTGCATGTAGTTAGTCATGGAGTTTGGACCCGTTGAAGGTTTTGCACTTTAAAATAAAGTGAATCATCTTGCATGTCCACACGTCATGGTGTCTCTGAATAAGACACCTAATCCCTAATTGTTCCTTGGGTGCTTACATAGCTGCCCACTGCTCCACCTGGGTGTATCCCAGGTGCAAAGGGTTAAATTGTTAAATGGGAACAATCTGCTCTTCAACATTTGACAGATCACTTCAGACTCTGTTTTTAACTCTCTCCTGAAAACACACCTGTACTCACTGCATTTAACACAGGGTGATGTGATTTACTATTTCATTGTGTTTTTATGTTTTTATTCCTGATTCTGTAATTATCTTTTTTTATTTGATGCTGGGATCTTTTTGTTAAGATCTTTGGTAACAGTTCCTGTTTTAAATGTGCTATACAAATACATTTGATTCGACTAAATGCAGAGAACTAATTTTGCCATTGTATGGGAACAAACAATGATGACAACACATAGCACTTACCGGTAATTAAAACTTCATTGTATGTGAAATTTTCCTCAATACCTTCCTATTAAATTTAAACTTAAAATAACCATCAAAGTATTTATTCATATGCTGGCTACTGTATAAAACATCCATCCATCCATCCATTATCTTTACCCGTTTATTCCATTTTGGGTCACGGGGGTCGCTGGTGTCCATGTCCAGCAATCACTGTGCGAGGGGCGGGGTACACCCTGGATGGGTCACAAGTCCATCACAGGGACACATAGAGACAAACGAGACAAACAACCATTCACTCTCTCATTCACACCTAGGGACAATTTAGAGTTACCAATCAGCCTAACATGCATGTTTTTGGTCTGTGGGAGGAAACCGGAGCACTCTGAGAAAACCCACGCATGCACGGAGAGAACATGCAAACTCCACCCAGAAAGGCCCCTGGACCAGGGTTTGAACCAGGGACCTGCTCGCTGAGAGGCAGCAGCTCTACCAGTTGCGCCACCGTGCTGCCCCTGTATAAAACAGTAAGCTCAAAATAATAAAAATTAGCAATTGAGTGCAATTTCACAATATAGTATGTCCCTGAGAAATCTGGTTTCCCTATTTAATGTAAATATATTTTTAATTCAGTTCTAATTATTCTCAGTTTTTGTCTAAATCTTTTTGACTTTTCATCTGACCTATACTGAATACTGATAGTCTTGATAGAGTTTTAATATTCATGCAGATGTTGTATGTTATAGATTAAATATAGCCTTTAATAATTTAATAGTCAATTGGTTTTACCCAAAATGTCCAAACATCCACTCATTCTCATCATCACACTCTTGACCTGGTTCTGAATTATGGCATCAAGTTTAATAACTTAGTAATGCTTCCTCAAAGTCCTGTTCTGTCTGATCATTTTTTTAATAACCTTTGAGTTTACATTAAATGACTACAGTCACTGAGAGTAAATTTCATTATAGCAGCTGTTTATCAGAAAATGCTGTAACCAAATAAAAAAAACTCAAGTTATTTTTCTTTCATGTTGCAGAGCAATGCAACAGAGCAACAGAGCACTTTGCTCACAGGCTGCAGGTTTACTTGTGGTTCCTAGAGTTCCCAACAGTAGAATGAGAGGAAGATCTTTCAGTTATCAGGCTCCTCTCTTGTGGAACCAACTTCCAGTTTCTGTCCGTGAGGCTGACACATTGTCCAGTTTTAAGACTGGACTTAAGACTTTCTTTTTTGATAAATCCTATAGTTAGGGTTGGCTTGGGTTTCCTCAGCTATCCCTTAGTTACACTGCTATAGGCTTAGACTACTGGAGGACAAATTGACCACAATTCCTCACTCTGCTGCTGTATTTACTTGCTCCACTCTACCTGGTTGTATTTGTAATTATTTCTATAAAGAGCATGTGTTTTTTTAATTTATTTTGCCCCCAAAGAGAAAACACCTGAACCTTAGAAACTACACTCAAACCATAGAAACTACACCGAAAACATAGAAACTACACCTGAACCATAGAAACTACACCTGAACCATAGCAACTACACGCAAACCATATATACTACACCTGCACCATAGAGACTACAATGAAACCATAGAAACGATACCAAAAACATAGAAACTACACTTGAACCATTGAAACTACACCTGCCTGAACCATAGCAACTACACGCAAACCATAGATACTACACCTGAACCAT